CTCCTGCTCAAGCAGGGTCACCTACAGCTAGTTGCCCTGGACCATGTCTGAATGGCTTTTGAATATCTCCAAGGATGGGGACTTCACCACCTCCCTGGGAAGCCTGTGCCAGTGCGTGGTCACCCTCACAGTGAAAAAGTGTTTTCTGATGCTCAGAAGGAGCCTCCTGTGTTTCAGTTTGTGCCTGTTGCCCCTGGACACCACTGAACAGAGCCTGGCTCCATATTCTTTACTCGCTCCATCAGGTACTGACACATTGATAAGATCTCCCTAAATCTTCTCTTCTCTAGGCCAAACAGTCACAGCTCTTTCAGCCTTCCCTCATAGGAGAGATGCTCCAGTCCCTTAATCATCTTGGTGGCCCTTTGCTGGACTCTCTCCAGTATGTTTATGTCTCTCGCTCATTCTGGGGAGCACTCCAGCTGTGGCCTCACCAGTGCTGAGCAGAGGGGAAGGATCACCTCCTTCGACCTGCTGGCAATGCTCCTCCTAATGCAGCCCAGGATACTATTCGCCTTGTTTGCTGGAAGGGCACATTGGTTCATGTTCAACTTGCCACAGGGATGCTCAAGGCCTTTCCTGCCAAGCTACTTTCCAGCTGGGCAGCCCCCAGCATACACTGGTGCTTGAAGTTGTTCCTACTCAGGTGCAGGACTCTGCAATTCCACTTGTTGAATTTCAGGAGATTCTTGTCAGCCCATTTCTATAGCTTGTCAAATTCCCTCTGGATGGCAGCATGACCGTCTGGTGTATCAACCACTCCTCCCCATTTCTGGGCATCAGCAAAGTTGCTGAGGGTACACTTCCCATCACCCCAATCATTAATGCAGATGCTGAATGGCACTGGACCCAGTATTGATGCCTGGGCTACACTGCTAGTTACTGGCTTCTGACTAGACTTTATGCTGCTGATCACCATGCCGTTCAGCCAGTTTTCAGTCCTCACTGTCTGTTCATCTACCCCATACTTCAAAAGCTTTTCTGGAAGGATCTTATGGGAGACAGTACTGGAAGTCTTACTGGTGTCCAAGTGGACAACATCCACTGCTCTCTTGTCTACCAGGCCAGTACATGCCTTAAGAAAGTTCTGATCAAGAGATTTTGAAAGTTAGATGGTCCACTAGTTCATGGATTGGAGAGTTTTACAAAGAAGGCTTATGTGGCCAGATCCCTTTGTAAACAAGAGAAATCTGCATTTAAATCTGCAAAGATTTAGATGGTCTTGAAAGCCCATATATAAGGTATTTTTTCTGTATGAGGGAAGAAGCTGTTATCACATTTTTGTTTCTCTGTGAAGTGATTGCACATCACTGCAGCTGACAAAACCAAGCAACCATACTATACAAGTTAAAACATTTCTGCACATAGGAATAGAATAACAACATGCTCCCAGAAGGATCTGTCATGGGTGGAAAATTAAGCCAGTGCATTTACAATTAAAAGAAAAATCAGCACAGTTCTAGAAGAGCAAAATATTTTTAGTTGGAAAGGGTACAATAAAAGAAGAAAGCATCTACTTTTTTTAGCAAAAGAAAAAGCAGCATATGGTAAAACTGTATAAGAAAGTTTGAAGGCTTTAATGGGTGGGAAAAGTGAAGAAAGCAGAGCCGGAATACAAACGGCTGTGACAAGCTCCGCAAACTGAAACACTTGCTAGCATTTGTGAAGGTCAAGCCCAGTTCTCACAGAGGATTAAAATAATGGTTCCTCAGCCTAATCCACAAACAGGTAAGAAAACCTGGGGCCCAGGGCAACCCCACTCACCTTTCAGAAATACATTACTGAAGGAAAACCCAAGTAAAAATTCAGAGTAAAGTGTCATCATTTCAGCAAAAAGACTTTCCATGGATCCAGTTTCACTAAGCTACAGCCTGAGGTTGACGAGTAACTATTCACTAACACTAACACTAGAGATAGCTCAATATTCTAACAATTTTCTGTTGACAGTGAGATAGTGACCTGGAATACAACATGATTTCTATGTTCTGTGACCGAGTCTTCCATGAAACCAAACAGCCCAAGGTATTGCAGTACTACCACTACTGCCCTGATGGGATGGTGCACAGAAACCTAAGCGGAACCTCACAGTCTTTTACCCTCCATGGTTTTTAATCTGTACCACACTATGTAAATATCACACATCTCTTGCTTGTTCTTTGTTTTTGAAAAAGGGGTTTTTTTGAAGTCTCCTGCCCAGCTGTTTTTGTCTTCATTTTTCTCTGTGTGCTGGCTGCATCCCTTAAGGCGTCCAGTAAGCCCAGTATCTGCTTTCTATATCTTTCTTTACCCAGCATATCATATATGTTTGTGAGGTTTTTTGTTGATTTATAAAGAAAAATTTACAAGTCTGTAAGGTTTCAGCAATATGCATACCTGAAGGCTGATGGCTGGCCCACCCTGTCCTCCAAGGTCTGTAAGAATAAATTACACATAGTCAGAATTTTATCTAATATTCTACTCTGTAATCAAAAGAATGCCTTAGGTGCATCAGAAGTGTACAATGATCTTTGCTGAAGCTGATAATAACGGTGTAATTGGAAGACTGGTAATATCCATTCTGTTTCAGTAGACGAATAACATCCTTGAGTGGAAATTTAACTGCACATTAAATCCTGATTTTTAAGCAGGACTCTAATACAATGGCAAATTCCTCAAATTACTCCTACTGTCCTACTGTCTTCTTTCCACTTGGTCAGCTTGGTACCTTACAATTTATTTGTCTGCACTCCTTTATCCTCTTTTATCTTTAGGACAACATCAAAACTTTACCAGTCTTGAAGAATAATCTGTTGGATCTGCAATTAATGATACTCTTAACTAAAGCCCTGAAATGTCTGTTTAAACATACATCCAGCTAACAGGAGGAATAAACCATTAGAAATTACAGACTTGCAGTCAATTTCAGCAATTTCTATCCTGTGTTATATTCAGTTGTGAAACTCCACCAGATGAAGAATTGAGAATAAGAAGTTACAGTGCCCTTAAAAATCTATTGTGGTAGAAAGTTATCAGATTGCCTCCTTCCTGTTAAGGATAAAGATCAGGTACATCATCTTCCTGTTGCTTTACAGAGAGGTATTTTTATATAACTTCTGGTGTAAATCATGAGCCTTCTCTGGTATTCAGTCACCTGGATTGATTTTTGTGTGACCATAAAGGCAGGTCTTACTCTACTGATAGCTCAGCACTCACATTAGTCTCATACATCCTGAAGTTAGTGTTAAAGGGAGGTATAACCACAACATATGTATGATAAATAAGTTTTATGTAACCCCCTCCAGTTAGCTATTAAATAATGATTTCTACAGATGCACTGAAAATGAAAAAATCTTAACATTTTTAAGTATTTCTTTAAACACAGTATTTTAAATACCACTGTTCATCCATCCTGTGGAATTTATCCTATAACTGATGAAAGTGATGGGAGACCTGACCAGTCTCATGCTTGAAGCGTGAACCCCATGTAGCTGGCTTGTCTAATAGTGCACTGCAGCCTGACATGTTTCACCTCATGCATTCCCTCCTCCTGCCTTAGAATCCTGCTTAACAAATTGGCTTATCAATGGGGGCTGGGAAGCAGGGGAGAGTGTCTGCTCAGAGAAGTTTTTCTAAAGGACACACAGTTCAGCAAAAGACTTTGACTGCAATTCCTCATCCGATCTGTGACTGGACACAGGTGTTTATATGACATTATAGAGAGGGACAGATCTCCCAAATATGACCTAATCCTATGAGCAAGGGAGATCTTAGTTGAAATACATCTAGTTCATATCAGTGTGACCTGGAAGGAAAGCTGGGTGGGAAGTGACATTACCACACAAAAATCAAGGAATATAAACTAAGGAGCTTCCTAGCATTAAATATTATTAAATAAATAGTTTAAATCTACTTTTAGAGAGGGCCTTTGTGTCTTCTCCCTCAGCTGAAATCAAATACCAAGCCTTGCCACTGTAAACTGGCAAAACAAAAATAGAAATGAGGTTTATGCTGAGGGAAAGAAGAAAAAAAAAAGATGAAGATTTATAGCATTAAAGCCTTTTATGACTGAGGCAGCACAGATGTTATACATTTGTCCCAGCCCTTGTATCCTGTTTTGAAAACCAGCCACAGATTTCTGATTCACCGGCCATGGAGGGTGTACTTTCAGTGCCTGGGGGCTTTAGGGTATGAGGTTCTTCCCTCACTACTTGACCACTCCAAAGGAATGGATCAGTGAATTAATCCGGGTTAAAACTCCTGGCAAAACAGAAACAAAACTGGTTTTAACCTGGATCAATTCCCTGATGCAGTTCACTATGTTGCTCCACAAACAGCACAGTTGAGGGTGTGGTGTGAGGGGAAGAGGACTTGTACTGGGCAGCTGGGAAGCAGGAAACCTTTTAGATAGTGCTGTCATTAAAGCCCATGATACTCAGCTTGTCACAAGGCAGCTGTTAAAGTCTAGAATCGTTCTCACTGCAAAAATCCCTTTTCTTTTTTTCTGACAGGGTGCTGAAATGAGTGGCTCCCACACTCCTCACACCACAAAGGGCACAGGTGACACACACATGCTCTTGTCACGCTGCAAAGCCTGGAACTTCCCCTCTGAACAGCGATTGAAGCGATAGCATGGGTATGCTTAAATATATAGGAGTTAAGTGATAACCACAGTTACATTGTATGAAGAACACTCCAAGCCTTAATAGCTATAGTTTTGTTTAAATGCCATTCATGGTATTCCAACTATTAGTTACTACTGTACACACCATTCCAGCATTGTGCAGATATGTAGGACTGTAGACCTTTAGTTAACATCTAGGACAACAAATTATGGCTCAAAACATTGTTTGGCTACATCAACTAAAAAGTAAAAAGATTGCTGCTAATCTAAAATAGGAAAGACATACAATGTAAGAGGAGATGTAGGAACACCAGTAAAGTTTTATAGCCTTTTCCTCTTAATGTTTAGGAATTTAAAGCTTTGTAAGACCCTGGAGCAGAGCCCTTCCGAGCTCACGTTCATGCTGAGCATCCTGCCTGCAGGTGCACGGACGCCATCACTTGCTTGCAGTTCTGCATCTGAACCCGGAGGTAAGGTTTAGCTTACATGAGTAAAAATGTACTAGGGCTTCTTAATACATTATAATTTACAAGAATTTCAATGTTACTTTATTATTGTTAGGATTATGAAATTATACTACTATGTGTTTACATATTTCTTCACACTATGTTGGTACATTAAATATATTTTAACTGAAAAAGAACATTTCTGAGGCCTTCTTTCTACTGCTTCTCCTGATCCATTGCCTACTCCTTTTGTTGTGCCAATGCAAATGTTTTAATGGAGAAAAGGAATAAAAATTTTTGGCAGGGCAGATTACAGTCCAGTATTTATTGATGAGATCAAGCAAGACAAAGCCCAACAACGAAGGATACCAAAGCAGGGACCATTACAGGAATTGGTCAATGATAATAATATTTCCCACCGATTTGGTTAATTTATTTCTAGAAGGAAGCTCATGGCCAGGCTGTTGTCCTTGCAGCCCTGTAAAACCATATGGAGGGACAAGAGCATTTTAAGCTGCTCAGCAAATGTTTGACACAGAAACTGGTTTCTTCTTCCACTCCCGACACACACACGCTCGTGTCCTGTTCACGGCGGTTTATCCACCCGTGCCAGAGCACAGAGGTTCAGTCAGGGAGGAACGCACCCAGGTGCTTCAGAGGAGCCGGGTGGCAGCCAGGCCTGTTGGCGCAGGGTGGTCGCAGCAGCAAGACGCTAACTGCAGCCTCTGAAGTAACGGCGTACTAAGCAAGCACGGCTGGGAAGGGTGACGGGGCAGCCGGCCTGATGTGGAAAACCTGAGTGATGGGAGCGTCCTGCGCTAAACCACCGACTTGAGATCCTCCTATCAAGACAGGCGTCACATTTTGGTTTGCTGAAACGAACTCCGCAACGCAGCGCCAGCCCCGGGCGCTTATCCGGCCGGCCGCCGATAGCCAGTTCCCATCGCGGGTGACCGTGGCGCTGTGGGGGCGTTTCCGAAGACAAGTGACATTTGCGGGACAGGAAGATGCTGCAGGAGCGGGGCTGGGGGCCGCTCAGGGATACCCGGCCAC